GGGGGGAGGGGGGTTATGAACTAGTAACCCCAAAAATATTTAAAGAAAACACCTTTGACTATTCAGAGAATCTCTTGTAAGTACAAAAAACAAAATTACTTAAATTGTTGGGGGTCACCAACCTTATTTTTGAGAAAATGATGGTTGTATGTATCAAAAAGGCTACTAGTAATCACATTATCTCATACATCCTTGGTATAACAATATGTATAAAATATGGCAATCTAATAGTACACATACTAAAATACTAGGAATAAGAACAGGCAAGTTAAATCATATACACTAAAGGGGTTTACTCATTTCACATCCGGGGGTAGAGGATTTTGGAGAAAAAACATTGTTATGGGTGAAGGAAACCAAAAGTCCAACGAACACATAATGTAAAAAAATGAGAAAAAACGTTTAAAAAAATCGTCGTCTAGCACATGTAAATAACATATTTGCAACCAACCAAATTCCTCCACCTCTTGATTTCAACTAGAAAACACATAACCCATATATCACAGTCCCTTAACTCCGGTGTTGAGGGACTGTGCCCATATGTACCCTAATAATACTAATTCCTGATTCAAGTGCCGTGCACATTATATAATCCACAGTCTCAACTACCATGATATATAAAACATATATTAATAAAATGTCGTTACTTGTCTCAGAAAGCTTTGCATCGAACCGAGGACTCGGGATGACAGCAAAAGCTCCGCCATCTTACACTAGGAAAGCCCTTTGAACTTTGACCTCGTGATTCCCTTTTCACGTTGGCGGGGTGATGTTTTATCGTAATAAAAGTGTAGGATTTAAATTATTGATTCTGCAGCAGGATTTCCACGGCAATTCCACATATGTCAACATTTACCCAACAATATTTTTCACATGTCGACAATGATTAGAATAATTATTTGTTTACATTCTATGTAATATTTGCGTTCGACTCAGACTACGAAACGGCGCGCGCAGCGCGCGTTAAATAATAAATTAATTCTATTTGAATGTTCTACATAAATTTCGTTGTCGGTTCTAAATCGATGCGCGTGTGGATTTTCACTCAATTATTGACAGTTGTACACCACTTCGCTGTTAAAGTTAAGTTATCACAGCACATATTAGAAATCACTACTGTCCGATCGATTTGTTTTACTCACAATGGGAGCAGGACCGTCAGTTTGTGGAAAATGTTTCTCAAAAGTAAGTGTTATACGCAAAAGAATGAGATTTTCTAGGCTTCATAGCAACTTTCGTAACTGTGTCATGTATGATTTTAATTTGACCTTAAGATTACGACAATATCGTATATACTATTTATTTACTTTTTTAAAGATTAATTGTATGACTTTAGGAGTGACAATTTCTTATTGTTTTCCATAACTTCAGACAACTACCATATCTCCTACCACGTCTTGTGAAAATGTCAGAACCATATCAGTAAAGAAAATTGAAGAAGATGACTGGACGGACCAAGTTCTTTCAGTCAGTGCAGAAGATGATTCTCTCACAGAAAATATTGATGGTAAACTGGAAATAGTTGGAGTTGGATATGATAAAATATATAAAAATATGCAGGAAGCCCGTGAAACGGCAAAAGCTGCAGCCCCAAGAGCCACTTCAAAATGAAGAAAATACCTGTGTCATGGAAAACATATCAGCAACGAAGATACCTGATGAGGAAGAAGATACGGGTTACAATGGGGTTTTGGGAGAAATAAAAACACTCTCGTCTGACATCCCAGAAGAAAAGGATCATAAAGATACTGGTGAAACTTTGGATGAGCTTCTACCGTTGTATAGCGGTACCGACCCACAAAATAAACCAAGTAAGCTAACAGGTGCTACAAAATCTTCCAAAGCGAAGAGTACGTCGTCCTTCTTTGCAGTTTTCAGGCGAAAGAAAATAAACCGACGTTGCACTTCTGAAGGTGTTATTACGCCAGACGCCAGTCCGCTTGTGGCGAATAAAACAGATGACGAAAAATTTGAAAATGCAACGGAGCAGCAAGCAGATGCGACTGAAGCTAAAGATGACCAAGCCGACAATGACTACTTTGAGGATGCGACCACAGAAGTCCATGGGCCTGCTGGTGAAACTGAAAAACGGTTGTCAGATATTGACGGCGCCCATGGGGATACAGCTGATGGAGAAATCAACGACGAAACGAAGGATAAATTGAAAGACGTCGGTTCACCAATAGATAACAGAGTATTCGGAGGTATACGCGATGCTGTCGCTAATAGGAGCCCGTCAAACTGGGTGCCTAACTGGATGTGGGGATGAAAATGAAGCCACTCTAAGCGTTCAATCGATCAAAAACTCAACTTAAGGTAGAAGCCTAGTCATAATTTTTGACAAAATTGGTCATAAATCGCATGACAATGTTCATTAGTTTATTATGTACAATCATGAAGCTAATGTCTCATGGTACAATGAAATAGCATTATTTTGTGTGTTACAGTTATGCTTTTTGAGAAACATGTCCTAATATTTCTTGGAAATTGCTATTTTTAGAACAATTCCATAGAACACAATGTTAAAGAAAAATTGCATTTTTTGACACTTTTTAAAACCCAGATTTTTTTAAATAATTCAGAACAACAAAAAGTACTCCATCATTAACAATATATGATTTTTTCAGCCTATGTCACCAGGCTAAATTTTGAGATATTGCATAATATCTCTGCCATAGGAACCTGTGGTAAAAGTGTTATAATAGTGTCAAAATGGCGACTTTCCACTAAAATACAACCATCAATTTCTCGAAAAAAAGGCTGGTGACCCCCAACTTTTTTTAGGTCAATATCCTTATATTGCTTTGGAGTACAGTTTATTGCAAAATGAATAAATTCTTGGTATTTTAATTTATGAGTGGGCTTCTACCTTAAACTCTAACAATATTTTTGTTTAACATTTCTAAACGTTCACCACACACAGACACAGTTGGCATTACGCTGTACCGTTCATCGCCAATGTAGATGTTACTTTATTTTAAATGTTTTTATTGATTACTAGTATTATAATAAGAAACATTTGATTTTAATTTCCATGGTCACCGACTGCATTGCCAGGTATACCTTATAATTCTAATGTTATCCGTCAATTCCGTATACCTTCAAGTCGGGAAATTCGGAAGTGAGCTGATGAATCCACATCCGAGTTGCTCTGAACTCAAGGATGTGACAGTCTACATCAATTAAATACTCATTGTCTACCGAATACCGACGCGTGAATGAAAGATTCCGGTATATTTAAAGAGTACAGCCGGGAAGCAGCAAGATGTAAACTTTTTTGTTGCGGTCAACTTTTTCTCCTAGAGTATTTTCACTTTGTAATGTAATGTATTCATTATTTTATGAACAAATATATATATATTACGTATTGCGTCATATCCAATTGGTCTTGATTCGTCGTATTCCACGTACCACAGAGCCCCCACCCCGCCCACATCTCCACATCACAGACGTCTGGCATATTCCCGTATGTACTGCATATACATAGTAATCATAACCGGGCTACACCAGTGTTACCGGTATTTTTATAATCCATCCAGAAAATCCAGGTAGTAGGTATGCTGATCGTTTTATCGTGTGTGCAAGTCTAAAAACTGTTTCCGAAAAACATGATACATTTACTTGGTGTACGCGTCAAACAATAATATACGACTCAAACGTATGTGTACCCAATGACAATAGAATGGAGGTTGTCTTTGGTTACCAATATGTGACATTTGAAACTCTGGACGAGAGATGGTGAAAAAACCGCGCAAAATATTTTTTCTTCACTTAGTTTCGACTGAGTTACATTTTTTTTTCAGGATGTGTAATTTGTGTTGCTACTCCTTTTAATTGCTATTTTTTTTTCATAATATGTTATTTATTTGCTGATGGTGTTTTTTCAAGATGATGTTGCTGTAATTTGTGTTGCTATCTCCTTTAAAATCATTTTGTTCACATATTTTATTTTATTTTATTATTTATTTGCTGGCGATGTTTTCCTTTCACTTAGCGTAGGGTTAGATTTGTTATCAAGATGCCGTAGTTGTAATCTGTGTAGCTATCTTCTTTACATTTGTAGTGGTCATAAAGGTTCAGTTAAAATAAATATAAGAAATAAAAAATATAGGCTGTACATCACTGAGATTTTAATCAGATTGTTTTGAAAAATTCTGAGAGTAACACATGTTTTGAACACAGTTTCTCCACTACGGTTTTTGAACCATAGCACTTGTATTTCTAGATTTACCAGTACTGTATATGTATAACTAGTAAATCAGTATCAGTGAACCATAGTTTTGTAACACAGGTAAAACTTCCACCAATTCTCAACGACGACGAGGGCGCTGTGGTCAAATCCTGTTGTAGAGTGCCCTCTATCTTAGTCCGAACTCAGTTGTCTGAGGACCGAACTTACTCCTTCATGCAGCTTTTCGTGGTGTTCTGTAGAAATCGATCGATTAACAAACCACAATATTCTAAACGAACATATTTAGATGATATTGGATCTATGTATGTACTTTCAACTTGATTAAACAAATAAAAAACAATTTAGTAATAAATTAAGGTAAGTTAAGTGTTCTAATAGTAATACTCAACAAAAACAGTCGGTTCGTACACGATGGACAATGACCTTGGGCGAATGGCAAAGAAACATTTATTTCATCCATGTAAACAATATTTTCATATGCTAATATAATATCCATGTATATCTTGTGCATTATGCTTATTCTAAAATCGTTTTAATATCCCAAACATAAGTACGAATTGCCACAACACTTCGAATCGACCGCGGACATGTTTGTTGCCATAGGATTGGTTTACCAGGTCGTCAAGTCGGATCATCTGATGGCGTTCCAACCAATCA